GGGCAAGCGCCCCCCTCCCCGCGGTTCTGGGCTCGGGGCAGGCCGGGACCCTGGGGGCAGCATCGCCCCGGGCGCCCGCGGGGGAGCGGGAAGCCGAGAGCGCGGGCGGGCGCGCACAGCGCTCTCTCTCTCTCTCATACACACACACACGTTGGTGTGAAACACTGCCACCCCCAAATATTGGGACACACACGGGAGACGCACGCAAGCAGAGTGGTTGAATTTTAAATGCAGCCACTCCAAAATATCGGGACACGTACACACACAGAGATTGGTAAACAGCCACCCAAAATATCGGGACACACACACGCACAGAGATTGGTTTTAAATGTAGCCATCCTAAAATATTAGGGTACACACACGTGCGCACACACACACACACTCTAGGAACTGGTCTTTAATGCAGCCACCCCAAAATATTGGGGTGCACGCGCGCACGCACACACACACACGGGATTGGTCTTAAACACAGCCACCCCAAAATATTGGGACACACACACTACTAGGGAGGCTTACACAAGCAGAGGGATTGGTCTTAAATGCAGCCACCCCAAAATATTGACAACCCCCTCCTCCCCCGGTTATATTTTCAGGAGAGCTGGAAAGTGAGGTGGGAAAGCCCATGGGCCCCTGTGCCTGGGGTGTAATCACCAGGGCTAGTCACTCCTCAGTCTGTCAGAGAGATGGGGCATTCTCCATGTAATAGTATCAAGGTGCGACTTGGGGTAGGGCTGAGAGCTATAGCCCGTCATTACTGGGATCCTTATTAACAACCCCCCAGCACTGCCATTCCCAGGCAGCAATTCACAGACATTAAGAATGAAAGCCCGGCTCTATTTCAATGTTACAGGATAGACTGGGACCAATCAATAACCTTAAAAAAAGACCCAACCTTGGGATCTCTCAATCCTTTTAATAAACTGCATTGTAACCATAACACTTAAAACAGATCAGAAAACTTGGTAGTAGATTTGACAGCAACAATTCGAGGAAACACAGGACGGTGTCTAGAGCAGTGTTTCCCAACATTTTCCAGCCCAAGGCACACTTACATTAATAAAAATGTTCCCTGGCACACCTGTTAAGGCATTCCCTATCCTCATACCTATTGTTGCTCATTGCCATGGCTAAATTCCACAGCGCACCTCTTCATTTCTGATGGCACACTTTTGTACGACAGCACATGGGTTGGGAAACACTGGTCTAGGGGCAGCAGTTCCTAAACTGTGGGTCACAACCTCAAATGGGGTCACATTAGTGAATGGGGTCACAGGGGTGGGGGGCTGTGGGTTGGGAATGAAGGGCCAGGCTGAGGAAATGGGGCCATAAATGGGTTCATGCTGAGGGAAAGTTTGGGAAGCATTGGTCTAGGGCAGAGGTTCTCAAACTGTGGTCCACGGACCACCACTGGTCCGCAAGCTCCATTCAGGTGGTCCGCCGAAAGGTTGCGGAACAATCGAGAATATCTGTACTTAGCCCTGCACTTGATCTATTTTTTCTGATGACAGAGATTAAGTGGTCTGCTGAGACCCTCAGCAATTTTCAAGTGGTCCGTGAACAAAAAAGTTTGAGAACCACTGGTCTAGGGTGTTGGTTTTAGCCATGTTGGTCGAAGGACATAGGTAGACAGGGTTCTTTGGGTAAATATGATCTCTTTTTATTAGACCAACTAAATGTGATACATGTCACAAGGTTATTTGGGTAAATGTGATCTCTTTCATTAGACCAACTAAATAGTTGTAAAATTGCTTGCAAATAGCTTGCAAAAAACACATTTTTCCCAGCTATTTAGTTGGTGTAATAAAAGAGATCACATTTACCCAAAGAAGCTTGTCAGGGCAGTGTCTGGACTTTTTTTTTTAAACTCTTATAAGAAGTCGGCATCATTTTCATCCTGTGCAAACTTTGCATGCAACATTTATATTAAAACAATCCTTTAAAATGGGCTAGGCTTGTAGAACCATAAAATGACGCCTCTGTTTTGAAAAACTGAGCAGTGGTCTGAAAATATCACAGGTGCTTCATGGTAATAGTGGGATAGTTTCAATTTGTTAGCTAGATCCCACTCCTGTGAATTCCTATTTAGATTTTTTTTTAAGTGACAAAAAGGGAAGAAGGTATCCAGGTTGTAGCCGTATTGGTCTAGAGGAAAAGGCAATCCAGAATTGTACTAGAGATGATATCTTTTATTAGACCAACACAGGTTCCATTCAGTGATCCAAGCAAGCATGGTTGACAAGGTTGAAAGAAATTAACTGTTAATTGCCCATGATCAGATCAAATCAAATGAATCAGCACATGAGCAGGCCCATTGAATGCAATGGTCCCTGTAAACTCTGAATTTCACAACACTGAGGCAAGACAGGGTGGGGATGAATGGATTTGCGCTTCTGTTGCTCAGGACAGAAGGCATTTTACCATCAAGCAGTCTAACTCAGCACATAATGGTACAAAATTTCCATAACCAGTCAGCATAGGGCATGCTAACATTGATGGAAGTCACTGCTACACCTGCATTACAGAAGTGGGGAGAGATTTGTACAAGAACTTGTGTACCATCACCCAAAAAGTAAATGTATTGCTACACATGCAGCAGGAGAGTTCCTCTTGATATTGTATAGCTAAAGGCAAAAGTTAAAAGTTTTTCCACGTGTATGTCTGCACATGCTTTGATTACTATATCTTGGACACTGAAAATTATTTTTTTTAAATAGGAGCTAAGGTTTTAAAAAGAAGTTGCACAATGCTGCAAAAAATACGCAAGTCACATTAATGCATTTTTCTGCCTTTTCCCTGCTGCCGTTTCCCTGATGTTAACACATTTACAATCTGACTTATGCAAACCATCTCATCAGACCTCTGTGATGTGCTCCTCTGGATCTATGGGGTTCTTTATTAAGCTAAATGCATCCAGATCTTGGGTGTTGTATCTTCCTCTGTGGTAATCTCCCACCATTTTGCTAGTACAAGCGTTCCTCACTATGCTAGTGCAAACAAGTACTAGTTGCTCCTGTACTATATGGTAACTTCAAACCAACAAGCATGCATTAGCTAGCCTACGTATTTTGCAGGGGCTA